CCACTTTGTACTTGTACTTGATGTCTTCTCATTGGCGTTATGGGATGAAAGACTACCCCTAGGTGGATGGGTAGGAGAGGTTTGATGTGCCCCTGTGTTGGTGGGCAAAGATAGATGGATGACAGGGATTCTAGTGTTGCCCCTGCCATGTGATTATTGTGATGCCTCTCCAGTCGTCTGCTTGTGATAGAGTTTTTTCTGAATTTCATTTTTGTTTAGCTTCGGCCTTTTCATGTTTTAAGCTTGCCTTTTTTGCTATTTTTCTAAATGCTTCGGCTTTTTTCAACATTTACAAAGCTTGCCTTTTTCTCATGTTGCTTTTGCTCTTTATTGTCATCATTGGTGGAGGGATCCATTCCATGATGTTATTTGCTGAATCTTTATTAATGAGTATTATTTTGAAAGCCACTCCTGGCTTTGGTGAGGAAACCATTCCTAGTCTTAGCATTCTCTTAGATCATCTTTCATTTGGTGAAGAAGTAAGGTGTGGTGGTCGATTCCATTCTATTCCACTGTTGATATGTCTTTGCTTAGTGGGCACATAGAATCATTTGGGGTTGTTATTTGTCACCACTTTGACTCATGCTTGGCTTTTGAGCTTTTACGAGTGCTTTGTCCTGATGACTCCTTTTGACCCATAGCAAGTAAAATGCACGGATGCAATGAAAATGCAAGACAAGAATGATTTTATTATTTATTATTATTTTTTTGTGTAACGCCCTTCCATATGCCCCTACCTCATATGCATGCGATGCAATTTATGCTCATGTGTTTGTTCCTAAAAAATGCAATTTTTTTTTTATGTTGAGAAATTAACTTGTACGCGTTAAGGTTAATGATGACGATTCCTTTTTATCCATGTCATTTTTTATTATTGTCGGGATGTGTTCCTTTGAACCCAAGCTTTTACTGGCTCATTGATTATCCAGTCGATGTGTAGTCAAGCGTCTCTCAGCTCTGTTTGGGGACATCTCGATCTTTCCTCTGTGAGTATTCACTATGCATTCTCCGTGTATATTTTTGGTACCATTTTAATGCCATAAGGGTCAAGAGAAAAGAAAGAAAAGGGATGTTTGTATTTTTTCAAAAGGTTGTTAGAAGGGATTTTTAGAAGAATGGCTGACCAAGGTGGGCTTTAGTGTTTATGGCTATTAAACAAGGCATATTTGTTACAAAGAAGCTATCATTGTGTTTTAGCCTTTTTGGAAAGTGGAGTGATGACTCGGGGTTGCGCTTTGTTTAGATGATCCCCCTGAGCCGCCTTTCAGTTTTCAACTCAGGTTGCTGCTTTAATGTCCTAACTTTTGCCTAGGTCACTTGAGACGTGTTTCCTAGTGGACATTTTTCTTTTGATCTTTTCTTTTGCCTAGGTTACCCAATTTTGCTTGTGGGTTGCCTAGCAGATCTTGCCCTAATTTTTGCCCAGCCCCCTCAGTGGGTTTCCTGCCGGGCTTTCATTTTTGCAGCATTTGTGTAGGACGCTCTATTTTTATTAAATCCTAGTCATGTTTGAATTTCTAATTGTTCCTTTGTTATTCTTTCCATGCTATTATTGAGTAACATGTTTGTCGCAAATACATTTTGTTTGTTAAGGGTTGATGGATGAGGCCTAGAGTGAATATTTAAAGGGATAAGAGAAACGAAAGAGTGCTATGGCATTTAAAACAGTACTTTCAATTTACACGTGCCCCTTTAGCAAAGCTTGAAGGCCCGGGCATGCCCCGAGTTCGTGATTCGTACATAGAGAGATT